TTGATGAAGATGTATAGCTTTATCAACTGTATTTTCTCTGTACTGTCTTAGAACTACATGCAATGAATGAAAATGTAACATTTTTTCAGGATTTGTAGCCTCTGTGTAAAATAATGTAATGCATGTAAAGATAATCTGTCTAAATTATACATTTGAAATTTTCTCCTATGGCTAGTTCATAAGAGGAGATCTTAAAGATAAATTTGTATTTTGCAGTTCACTCTCAACAGTGTTGCATCTTAAATAATAAACAATCCTCTTACATTCCAAAAGCAGAAACTCCAAAATAACAATGAACAAAAACATATCAGAACAAACTGTGAATTGAATTCAAGTGTCAGATTACTCACACTTTCAACAAGAAGAGAACATCTTGTTGAAACATATTACAATTGGTCTTTTTGTGGAGTGGGAGAAAGCTTTCTGAATTATTTAATGTAAACTTTCTCTTTATTTTACATGAATACCTTAGCAAGCATTTCATATTTCACTGTGTGAAAAAACATGAAGGTAAAGTTCAGCCTTAACAGAGTCCTTTATGTCATTTATGTGCAGTGACAAGGCACAGGCTACCATCCATCTACCAACTCAGCCCCCTTTGAGTTCTAATACAGACTATTTTAATAAAAAATATATATACTTCACTTGAGGCAGAAGTCAATGTTCAAACCTTACAAGACATGAAATCTGAATCCATCTGAAGAATCACAGTAAAACTCCTAAGCATTCACCCAGAGTTCTCAGTTTGAGGTTATGAACCCTGATCCAAGTGATAACATTTCCCCTTTGATCAGGTGACATATTCCAAAACTCTGTTGACTATCCTCAACATCTTCCCTAGGATCTTAGCTGCCATTGACCACAGCTACCCCTTCCAGTTAGCATATGGAGTTCTATCTTAGGTGTGAAGTTTCTCCCATCTGAGAGATAGAGAACTACACGTTGGCACAATGGGAAAAAAAGAAAGAAAGGAAACAGACATCAGAAATTAATATAAATAAATAAATATAAATTCCTCACTATCTTTAACGTCTTCAGGAAATGACTTGAAATTACTATTTCTTTAAGATTCAGTAAACAAGGTAATTGCACTTGCCACTCAACATCTTTACAATTTCGATTAGATAAGGGAATAAAGAAGATACATTTATATGTTGCACATACTGTGTATTATAAAATCAAGTTTCCTCTCAAACTAACCCCCCAACCCTCACTTAAACTTTATAAACCATATTTTAAAGGCAGCTGAGAATTGTATTTGCCAGGATCACAAAGTAAAGTAAAATGTCAAACATGAAACTCTGTTCTGAAATGAGTTGAATAATGACCTCCATTTTTCTCCTAAAATAGTCTATGAATTGAAATAGTCTGTGAATTGAAAATGAGGTTTGATTGCTCTGCTAAGAGTGAACCAACCCTAATCCTCTTAAGTACTGCATAGTCAAATGTCTGACACCTTGATTCATTCTTCTTCATTTCATGTACTGAATGTGAGGGCTTGATATATGAAGCTATTGAGGGAGTCTGAAATTTCTAAAAGGCACTTTCCATGAAGTCTTGGTATAGTTTGAACAGAATAAAGAGAGAAAGAAAGCAGGTCTCAAAAACATTCTGTTTCCCCATGAAGACTCATGCTTGAATTTCCACTTGTATTCATCAAGGAGCTGAAGACTTACACTGTGTGTCTTTGGAAGATACAGATTATTTCCCATATGTTTATGGGCTGAAGACATAGTTTAAGTGATAGGGTGCTAGCTGAGAAGCAAGCTGAGTGAATGTGAGGTCTTAGCATGAAAAAGAGTAAGACAAAAGACTGACAAGGAAATTAATTAATTATACATAGTGTCAAGATAATTCAGAGTAGGCTAAAGCCATGTGAAAACTTGGTCATCATTAATATATTTTAAAATATAAAAATATACAGATTTAAAAAGAATATGATATATGCTCAATAAATTAGCAAAAAGAATATAAAATATTAAAATAATTAGGTGGTTTCAACATTTGATTGGACAGATCACTTTACAGAATTATTGAATGAGAAGCTCAGGAATGGAAACATTTCTACATCGTAGCAGAAAGGGAAAAGAAAAGCAGGAGTAGCAGGTCTGTGAAATACTTCTAAATTTCTAACCTCTATAATATTAAACTACCAGAGAGAAATTTGATAGCTAACTAGAAGTAATCTTCTAAGAGCTGTCTATGAAAATTTTTTTCTTTTTTCTCTTTTCTTTTTTGGGGGGGGGTCTGGTCGTGGGGCCTGAACTCTGAGCCTAGGCACTGTCCCTCAGCTCTTCAGCCTTGGCTAGCGCTCTACCACTTGAGCCAGAGCGCCACTTCCGGCTTTTTTCTTGTTTTTTTTTTTTTTTTTTTTTGCTTATGTGGTGCTGAGGAATTGAACCCAGGGCCTCATGCATGCAAGGCAAGCACTCTACCACTGAGCCACCTTCCCAGCTCTGAAAAATTTTTTTCTTGTTCTCAATGCTGGCCCACTTCCACATGAGTTGCTCCTGCACTAGCAATGTTCTTAAATATAGAAAGCTTCCTCTACTTAAAGTCAAATGCTCTATAACAAATTGAATATTTCTCGGGGCTGGGAATGTGGCTCAGTGGTAGAGTGCTTGCCTTGCATTCATGAGGCCCTGGGTTCGATTCCTCAGCACCACATAAGCAAACAAAAGCTGGAAGTGTCGCTGTGGCTCAAGCACTAGCTTTGAGCTGAAGAGCTCAGGGACAGCACCCAGAAAGAGTTCAAGTACCAAATTGAATATTTCTCTAATTCATTGTTTTCCTTAATCTGATTCCTTAATTTTATCCAAATGGAGCCCTCTCTAACAGTATATCCTTAGTTCTACAATACTTTCTACAGCTTTGCATTATTTTATTTCAGTGATTTTTCCCTTCAGAATCAAATTTCCATTCAAATTTCCATTTTGTTTTAATTACTTTTTTCCTTATTATTACCCATAGTGGCTTTTTACAGACTTATTTATAACATAAATTAACATAATAAACATAAATTATGTTTATTCCTTTCATTTAGTGAGGAATTTCTTGATTTTTATTTTTAATTGAAAAGATACTGTGCAGAGGGGTTACAGTTACATGAATTATCTTGACACTACGTATAATTAATTTCCTTGGTCAGTCTTTGATCTCCTTTTCCTGATCTTACAGGAAAAGGTTTTGACTACAAGATTAGCTGTTAGACATTTATACATGGCTTTTATGAGATGTAGGCAAATCCTTCTAGATGGAGATTCATGAGCATTTCCAAAAATAAGTAAAATTGTGTTAAATTGTACCAAAGATTTTATTTTTAGCTCTTGAGTTGTAGCTATTGAGTTTTATTATTCATTCTGTGAGTGTGGTGTACCCATCAGTCAAGTATGGGCATATGATCAAATATTCTCGCATCTCTTGGATAAATCACATTTGATCAAGGTATGTGATCCTTTTAAAATGCTATTTATATTCAGCATTATTTCATTTAGGTTCAAAGAGTTACTGGCTTATAGTTTCCTTTTGGCTTATACTTTTCTTTTTTTGGATGTGGTAACTTTATTTGGCTGGTGACATAAAAAGAATTTTTAAGTGTTTCCTCTTCTTATACCTTTTGATGAATTTGAACAGGGCTGAAATTAATTTTGTAATAAAGCAAAAACTTTTAAGATGTTTGTCTATTAGTATAATTAAATATAAACATATTTAAGTAACATCTGTCACCCAAGATATTCTACTCACCATTTTTCTGTATTGTGTGTCTCATTAAATGAATAGATCTACCATAGTAGATTGTAATACTATTGAAAGACAATTGATGCTTGAATTTTTGATATTTCACAAGATTAGAGGAGTACATGAAAAGGATTTCTGTCATAGAAGTGTACATTAAGAATAATGAGCCAACAAAATAAATGTGAGTAGAGTTTTTTTTAATGTATCTCTCCTAATTAATGTCACCCAGTGATCTGTTTGAAATTAAACACATTGAGGAGGTGGGAGGGAAGGGATGGTAGGGGAAAAACAAAGGAGGGGTAACAATGCTGGATAAGTAATGTACTCATTACCTTGCTCATGTAACTGTAGCTCCTTTGTACAGTATTTTCACAATAAAAAAACTTAATTAAAAAAGAAATTAAACACATTAACGATATATGTGTGTGTGTGTATGAAGTAACTTTGTATAAATTATTATTGCCTTAGCAAAACAAGAGACAAAATCACCTTTGCCGAGATTTTTGCCTTATGTATTTAGCTTATAATTCATTTTGGGCTTTTGAAATCAGGCTTTGAACATACTAGAGAGCAATTGTTACATTGTTGCTGACTTATACCTCCATTCACTTTTTGTGCTGGTTATTTCTTATGTAAGTTCTCACTTCCAATGCAGGAATGTATCTGAATGACAACCTCTCTGTATGACTGTAGGGTGTGGATGATACGTAGTGCGACCTACATGCTTCTTTCTGTGAAATAGACTTTCTGGCAAGGAAGTAAGATCCCTCCAATCTCAGTCACTTATGTAACTCAGAATGATAGATTGTGTGCGTCTTCATTTTAACAATAGGTTTAGAAGGTTTCATATGAATGTTTTTGTGTGGGTTGCTCTCAAATAGAAATCCTTCAGCCTCCCAGTTTGCCTGGATCACAGGAATGAGCCACAACTCCAGCCCATGTTACTTTAAATATATCTTATAGAAATGTTTGTAAATGATTCATGTTTAAAGAACAGTAGAATAAATATTAAAGAATAAAGTACAACGAATATACGTGTCCTTAATCTAGGCTAGCAATTGTCAAGCTCATTCTTTGCACACCCACGATCTTGAGTCTGCCACACAAAACTGTAAGAGTAAATTCAAGTCACTAGTTTGATTCATTGATTGGGCAAAATATCAATTCATTTTAACCCGTATCCTACTTTTTCTGTTACATTTTGTTCTGGTTACACTTTATCTGCCCATATATTAGCTCTTCTCTTTCCTTTTTTCTTTTAGTTTGCACTTCTAAAGGATTGATGCTGACAGAAAAGAACCCAATAGAAGTCCAGTTTACAAACAACCAACACAAAGGGGACCTCCATGTACCACTCTTTTGTTCAACTCACATACCCTGCATGATGGCTCTGGGTGAGGGATTGGTACAGATGAGGATAGCTGTCCCACAGCTCTGGTTTGGGGTCTACCCCTCCCTACTGGTTGGCTTAGATTGGGCAGGGTCAACATCACAGCTTCCCAGAAGTCATAATACCCTTGAAGTTAGGTGGTCCTGGTGGAGGAATGAAGACTCCAGACTGGCTCTCCTGTACTTTGGGGGCCAGAGACACATGGTCCACTTGAAGGTCAAGAAGTTTCTAGTACCCAAACATTTCTCTGTATTCACCTACACAGAGCAGGGAGCTCTCCTTGACAACAGGCCTTTTGTCCAGAATGATTGCTACTACCAGGGCTATGTAGAAGGGGATCCAGAATCCCTGGTAGCTTTTGACATTTGTTTTGGGGGATTTCAGGGAACACTACAAATAAATGATATGCTTTATGAAATCAAGCCCAAGAGCCCTTCTGCTACCTTTGAACATCTGGTTTATAAGGTGGACAGCAAGGAGACACATTTTCCTCCCATGAGATGTGCAGTATAACAGAAGAAGAAAGAGCACAATTGATGTTTCAAGACCATGGTGATTTTATGTGGAGGCCAAGTGGCTATGAAGACTGGTGGACCCACAGGTGTTTTCTTGAACTTCCATTGGTCGTGGATAATCAACTATTCAACTATCATAAAAGTAATACATCAAAGGGGATATGAGAAGTGGTTATCATTGCCCATCATGTAAGTGTGATTTTGAATGCACTGGATATGGAGGTCATTTTACTAGGACTTGAGATCTGGAATGAAAAAAAAAATCCCATAGTAGAAAAGACTACAGCTTTTCTCCTAAAATCCTTTTGCCATTGGAAGGTTAAGAACCGTGCTCTTCATAAATATGATATTGTGCCTCTTTTAATATACCAGAAAAGGGGAATATTTCTTGGCAAAGCATATGCTGGAAGCGTCTGTCTTCCACGGAATTGTGGAGTGGATCAAGTCATAACTAAGAACTATTTCAGCATTGGAAATACTGTGGCCCATGAAATTGGACATAATTTGGTCATGAGGTATGAGGGTTCAGATTGTAATTGTGGAAGATGACACTGCCTAATGTCTCCAGCACAGACTTCACAAATAAAATTTAGTAATTGTAGTTATGCTACCTTGGTACTTACATGAAGAACAAAAAATTGTTTGATTTCACCACCCAACCTATCAGACAGAATTAAGTATGAGGTCTGTGGAAATGGTGTGGAGAAGAGTGTGACTGTGGATCTTTAAAATTGTGTGAAGAGGACCCATGTTGTCTGGCAAATTGCACTCTGAAATATGGGGCTGGATGTGCTTTTGGACTCTGTTGTCAAGGTTACCACATTATGGAATTAGGCACCATGTGTAGAGAAGAGGTCAATGAATGTGATCTTCCAGAGTGGTGTAATGGAACTTCACAGCATTGTCCAGATGATGTGTATTCACAAAACTGGTCCCCTTGCCTCATCAATGGCTACTGCTATGAAAACAGATGTAATCACAGAGATGAACAATGTCGGAAGATGTTTGGTAGAACAGCTAGGAGCGCAAAGCAGAAATGTTATGAGGCAATGAACATGCAAGGTGGCCATTTTGGAAACTGTGGTTTAGTTAGCAAGCAATATGTACGTTGTAATACCCTTTGTGGCAGAGGTCGATGTGAGAATGTGGCAGAAATCCCCATGTTGGCAGATTATTCTATGGTACATTGGACTTACTTCAATAAGGTCACATGCTGGAGTACTGAGTACCACTGGGGGATTTTAATACCTGATATTGGTGGTGTAAAGGATGGCACAAAGTGTGGAAGAAGCTGTGTGTGCTCAACAGGACATGTATCCCAAGGCCACATTCGTCAACTGTTTGTTTACCCAAGAAATGCGAGATGCAAGGAGTCTGCAGCCATAAACTCCGCTGCCATTGCAACTCTGGGTGGCAGCCCCCCATCTGCCTGGCAAAAGGCTTTGGAGGTAGTGTTGACAGTGAACCACCTCCTGAGAAAGGACAATGAAAGGTAAAGCAGCAGACAAGACAAATACCCTAGTGGCATTTTTTATGTTCTTTTTTTACTTGGATTTTAATTTGTCTTGTTTTGTACTACATGAGCAAACTAAGTAGAAGAAAGCAAAAAGGATGCAAATTCATCCCAGTTATAATGCCTCAATCACAGACACTTCACTTAAACAAGAATCAGTCTGTCATTTCCAGATAAAAACAACAAAGCTAAAAGTGTACCCTCCTAAACAATAGAGCAAAGTTTACAAAAAAAAAAGCCTCAAGTTGAATGTTTTAGCTAAGAAAAAAGAGCTCAATGTTCAAACATTCCCTGGGAAAGAAGACCCCAAAGTTGAAACCTGCAAGAAATAATCTTAGATATCCCTAATGACATTTCACATGTATCAACCTGTCATATTCTTGAAGTAGAGATGTTATTGCTTATGTCAGCAACCACTGATAGAAAGTTCCAGCGAAGCCGGGCGCTGGTGGCTCACGCCTGTAATCCTAGCAACTCAGGAGGCTGAGATCTGAGGATCGCAGTTCAAAGCCAGCCCAGGCAGGAGAGACTGTGAGACTCCTATCTCCAATAAACCACCAGAAAACCAGAAGTGGCGTTGTAGCTCAAGTGGTAGAGCGCTCGCCTTGAGCTGAAGAGCTGAGGGACAGCGCCCAGGCCCAGAGTTCAAGCCCCACGGCCGACCAAAAAAAAAAAGAAAGAAAAGAAAAGAAAGTTCCAGCGAATTTTAACCTTGCAGAATCAGAAACACCATTTTAAAAACACCATTAAAAAAGTATGACTGCTAACATATTCCCTATGTTCATTATTTTAAGTAATTTATTGGTTATTTTTAATGAAATTCTTATATTTGAGTTTCCTAAGTAAGACTTTTCTCTCTACAATATCTGTCTACATGCAGTATCTCTCCAACCCATGTATTTCTCTCTTTCATTCTCTTAAAAAAATCTTTATTATTATCTCTTTGTTGCTTTGTATGTCCCTCCCCCACAGTATAAGTGGTAGAGCGCTCGCCTTGAGCTGAAGAGCTGAGGGACAGCGCCCAGGCCCAGAGTTCAAGCCCCACGGCCGACCAAAAAAAAAAAGAAAGAAAAGAAAAGAAAGTTCCAGCGAATTTTAACCTTGCAGAATCAGAAACACCATTTTAAAAACACCATTAAAAAAGTATGACTGCTAACATATTCCCTATGTTCATTATTTTAAGTAATTTATTGGTTATTTTTAATGAAATTCTTATATTTGAGTTTCCTAAGTAAGACTTTTCTCTCTACAATATCTGTCTACATGCAGTATCTCTCCAACCCATGTATTTCTCTCTTTCATTCTCTTAAAAAAATCTTTATTGTAAATGTGATGTATAGAGAGGTTTCAGTTACATAAGTCAGGTATTGAAAACATTTCTTTCTGGACAGTGTCAGCACCTCCCTAATTTTCTCCCAGTTCTTTCCTTCCCAACCTTCCTCCCCCAAGCTGTATAGTTTATTTCCAGTATCGTGTCTGCTGAATTAGTTCACGCTTTGTCCCACTGGTTCTGTGCTTTTCTTTCCTTTCTTTCCCCTTCCCCTCCTCTCTTTCTCTTCTCTTTCTCTCTCTTCCCTATCTTACTCCTTATCTCTTTTACTCTGTATGTGATATCAATTGATGTCTTTAATTCTACTCCACCCACTTATTTTCACTCTGACTTGTCCCATGGAAGAAAATTCTATATGAAGTCTCAACTTCCATTTCCTCTGTGTCTCTCCTCATTGTACTTTCTCTCCATCAAAGTACTAGAAGGACAGTCAGATGGCATCTGAGTGATAAAAACATTGGTGGTAGTGCCATGAAGAAAACAAGCACCAGAAAACCTGGAATTATTTTTACCCCAACTCCTTTTCAATTCCAGCAGAAGATAACTAAAACTTAGTATGTCTTTAAGAATATGTCAGCAACACAATGAGAACCATTGCCCCTTCTCCAGCAGCCCCTAATGCCACCCCTCCAGGCAGAGCCTGAGGGAGCCAAGCAAGCCAGTCCTAGAGAAGAGGACTTCATGGATGCTCCTTGCTTACCTCCCACCCCTTGGATGCCAGCAACGGGGGTCCTCCTGAGCCCCCAATGTGGTGAGGCACTGGGAAAGGTATCTGTTCTCTGTTTCCCCCGTCCTTCCTAGGTGAGTTGGGGGAGGGGGGAGGAGTTCCCCGGGCAAGCCCATCTTCCAGCCTCTCCATTACTATCACGGATTGTCTGACAGGTGGCACGTGGCAGTTTCCTGTTGTTTATTTTTTTATTGTGAAAATACTGTACAAAGGGGTTACAATTACACTGGTAAGATAATGAGTACATTTCTTATCAAGCATTGTAGCCTCCTCCTTTGTTTCCCCTTCCCCTCCCTTCCCAGCATCCCCCGGTGCCCCCACTCAATCCCCCCCCCCACCAAAGTTGTAAAGTTTGTTTTCGACATGACAATTTGTACTTCTCATTGTTGCAACGGGTCCACCTGTATCCTTATTTAAACGACTTGTTTTTCCCCTTCCCCTTCACAAATTTGATGTGGACAAAAGGGAACCTTACTTCATTGTTGGTGGGAGTGTAAACTTGTTCAACCACTTGGGAAAGCAGTATGGAGGTTCCTCAAAAGACTCCACATAGAGATCTCCTATGACCCAGCAATCCCACTTTTGGGCATTTACCCAAATGTTTACAATCAAGACCACACTAAAGCTACCAGCACAACAATGTTTATTGCAGCATTATTTACCATAGCTAAGATATGGAACCAACCCAGATGCCCCTCAGTAGATGAATGGATCAAGAAAATGTGGTATATATACACAATGGAATTCTATGCCTCCATCAGAAAGAATGACATTGCCCATTTGTTAGGAAATGGAAAGACTTGGAAAAAGTTATATTAAGTGAAGTAAGCCAGGCCCAAAGAAACATAGGTCCCATGGTTTTCCTTATTTGCAATACCTAGTATATGTATGAGTCAAGCAGAAAAGGTCAGATAAGGTAATGTTAGGGAAATGAACCCTAAGATATGTATTTAAATGTTTTTTTTCTTTCATGCATTTGTTTCTAACACATTTATAAGATTATTTCTTTGTTGCTTTGTATGTCCTGTGGTTTATTGATAAGTTTCTCCTGGCAGCCAAGCCCCTGAGCCAAGCCACCACCACCACCACCACCCCGCCCCGCCCTGGCCAAACCCCTCACCTGGAGGCCAGGGCATATTTCTTTCCAGAGTGAGCACATTGTTTCTCCCAGAGAAAGGAAAAATCTCGGAAAACATTCTAATACTCAGATCTAAGTCTTGACTTTTTTGGAGGGGGGTCTTTTTACCCTCTTTCTTCTACTTCCCATCCTTTTCAGGCTTATGAGATGGTAGTGGCTCATGCTTTTAATCCTAACAACTCAGGAGGCTGAGATATGAAGAACACAGTTTCTATACATTATTTCTATGCATTTTTGTCTAATAGTCTCAAGAAGGAACACATGAACTAAAATTTCAAGCATAGAAAACAGTTCTGAGAAGAGGTTATATGACCTTCCATTATTTCCCTTGAAATACTTGCCAATTGCATGGGCATTGAAGATGTGGTTTGGTCCACGAGAGGAAAGGCTCTCTATGAGAAGAGAAACACCAACCCTCTTAGAGAAATCCAACCCTACAATCATGAGCTAGAGGTTTTTGGTCCTTCAATTGATCATTGTTTTCCCTCGGGTTACACATGTTGAATTTGATGGCTTAATAGGATTCTGCTGCCACACTGAAATGTGTGTGTTTATGTTGTGTTGTGTTGTGTATCAGTCCTGCTACTGGGCACTGTGTCTCAGCTTTTGTGCTCAAGGCTAGCACTCTACCACTTGAGCTCTATCTCCATTTCTAGCTTTTTAGGTAATTAGTTACAAATAAGAGACTCACAGACTTAGCTGCCCAAATCTGGCATTGAACTGTGATCCTCATTATCTCAGCCTCCTGAGTTGCTAGGATTACAAGCATGAGCCACTACCATCTCATAAGCCTGAAAATTGTTATTGGCATATCTTCAGAATTAATATTGTCAGAACAGAATACAAGGTTTCTCCCAAGTAAAAACATAGTTTCTCTAAGACGACAATTATTTGATTTTTTCATTTGTATTTAACAAGAACCTTTGGTTTATAGAGAATAATTTTCATAATCTTTCAAACCTAAGTATATATAATCAGATATACTACCATGAAATTCTTTAGGTTCATGTCTGAGCAATACCCTCAAAGTAAAGAAAATTAGTCCCAGACTTACTAAAAATCACCTCCGACGTAGCTCAAAACACAAAGGAGGTGGGCAATCACTTTTTTAGTCTACATGTGAAGCAGAGGGAAGAGGGAAGAATCTCTTATGGTGCTACCGGAAGATTTTATGATAGCTTTAATTCAAGATGACCTGCAAACAATATAATATAGCTCTACAAGCAGTTAATGTTTGAATGTCTCCTCAAAAACCAGATTGAAATTGAATGATCAATTTAAAATAATTTAATATTGGGGCACTGAAAACTTACTTATACAGAATTTTTATGGTAGACTATAGCTGCTATACTCCAAGTGAGTTTCTCACTATAAGTAGGGGTCCCCTTGTTACAGAGTGAAGTTCTTCCTCTCTCTCTTGCCTCTTATTGGGCAGAGCAGTACCACCTCAGTCTGAATCACCTCAATCTTGAAGTTCCCTTCTGACAGAACTGAAAGCAAGTGATTTCTTTCCTCCATAAGTTATGCAGAAGATGAAGTTCTATTGTAACCACAGAAAAGAAAGTAACTTCTTAAAAATGTGGCACCAGTACTTATTGCTTTAACCTTTCTTAGTTATGGGACATTTGGGGAATGTGGAGGAATCTGTGGGAGCTACTGAGAAAGAGAATTACAGGACAGTTCTCAAGAGGGCTCAGTAAAGATAACTAGAACAATGCTGACAGAACTTAAGCAATTAGAACCAGAATGATTGGACACTGAGTCATTCTGATGAGATCGCA